ATTTTTAAAATGAGATGCCACTTGCTCAGTTTTGAATTTTTACTTTACTATGCAGGTAGTAGTGCAGGAATCCTGGCAGCCCCAAATGTGCACTGTCCTCTCTACCAAGCATAGTCCTTCTCTCCTAAAAGCCTCTCACGATTAACCCACAGCATTATTTTTTTTTTCTTTTCTTGTTTTATTCTTGGAAATGGCACAGTAAAGATATTCCATCTGTCTCCAGATAGAGCTATCAACATACCTTCTTTTTCTCAAGGCCCAGAAACAGAAGTGAGGATGTGTCCGGATGAAAAGTTAAATCATTAGCGTTATCCCTGGCAGGTCCCCTCCCAGTGCTCAGGTCTCTGCTTCCCAGTCACCCCATTGTTTGCCTGTAGGGTGGAGCTGGAGTTTCTCAAGCTTTGACTCACATCCAGAAATGAGTCTTGCTTGTGTCCTCCCCTCCCTGACGGAGTCACAGGCACACACCTGCTCTCAGGTGTCTGTGTCCTAGAGCAGGAAGATGCAGAGCCCAGCTTCTCAGTTTCAATACGCCATGGTTCTTGAAGATGAAAGAGCAGATGCCGAACTCAGTGGTGGCCAGGCCACAGTCTCATGGCCAGACAGGGCTGGTGGGAGTGAGAGCAAGGACTTCAGAGTACCATTCCACATAGCTTCTCAGGGCCCACCTTATCTGGAGGGGTGATCTGAGGGGTGCCAAGAAGTCTCCCTCCTCCTTTGAAAGCATAATCCACTGCCCCAGCCAGTCAAGGTGTTTGGAAATCAGCTATTACTGATTTAAGAGACTTGGATCAGGCCTTTCCTCTAGATTCCAGATCTAGCATTATCAGAGCCACAGTTTTCTCACTTATAAAATGTATAATACAATTAGCTTTCTTCATAGAGAACTGTGAAAACTTTATATGGAGGTGCTTGATAAGGCTTAACGACTAATAACAAAGCACCTGTGCCTGGTAGTGCCAAGAGAGGGAACAAAGTCTCTTAGAGGAGGGAGGGAGGCTAGGTTTGGTGGGAAAGAGAGCACTTGGGTTCTAGGGAGAAAATCAGAAGGACACTGGGGCGAGAAGCGGTGGGGACTACCAGTCTCTAATTTGTTATCAATGTAGCCTCAGCTAAGAAGCTGTTTGGTGTTTCAGTCCCTTTAGCTGACTGAGAATAGCCATGAAGTCAGGAGACCGGTGATCCAGTCATGGCTTTGATGTCAGCTCACATGTGACCTTGGGCAAGGCATGGCCTCATTCCAAGTCTCAGTTTCCCTTTCTGTAAAATGGGGATAATGTGGCCGGCAGGGAAGTAAAGTGCCAAGGTTTTGAAAGGCGTGCTATGTTGAGCTTATATGAGGTGGGTTGAGTCTTAGAGGTCTACAATATGGTGCACATGGCCCCTTCAAGGTGAACCATGTTTATAGGATTCTACCTGGCCACCCCTGGAGTATCCTCTGAGATGACAGCTGCCTTATGAGCCGAGTTTTATCACTAGACAGAAAGCTTTAAAATTAAGCAAGAGCTGTTTACTAATGAAGTAGGAGGTTAATGATCAAATTGGGCAAAATAAGGAGGACCAAAGTTCATTTCAAAGACCGAGACGTGAGGGATAGAGCTGTTCATCCATTTACAGGCAACACAGGCATGATGGTGACTTCTAGGTGTCAGGTATATGAAAATGCCTTGATCTGTGTACACGCCAAATCCATCTGTTTCGTATTTCCCTTAAGAAGAATTTGCATCAGGAAGTACACAGATGAGTAGGCGGGCGGAAGTGAAGGGTGCAGGTGGAGAGGTACATATTGGAAATGGAATGCAGAATCCAGAATCCGGAACCCCAAATATCATGTTCTTAATTTGATAGGCTTGGGAGGAGGTGACAGAGGAGGCCTGACCTGGAGGGGAGTATTAAGGGAATTTTATGTGAGGCTAACCCTGAAAAATGAGCAGTATTCCAGCTACATGTGACAAAAAGCTCAGAAAATGTTATTAGTCATGGTACCCACCCAGTGACAGTGACTTATGCACTGTGGAGATACTGGGCTGCTGGGATGAGGTGGAAATGAGCCCCAAGTCAGGCCCCCACCCAGCTCCACCCCTGCTAGCTGCATGCTGTTGAACAGGTCACTTAACTTCTCTGGGCCTGCTCTTTTAAACTGTAAAATCAGCTTTACACGACACAACAGGATTGCCACAATGGTTAAGTGAGGAAAGGAGTTTGGAAGATGCCTTGGAAAGTGCTTTAAGGTATTCCTCTCATTTCTCAGGCAGTCTTACACTGTGCTCTGACAGTGGTGGAAACAAATGCATGGATAGCCTCTCGTCAGACAGTGTCCTGAGGTTTGGGGTGGTGAGACAAAGGTGGGTCAGCCTTCCAGAGAAACCCTGCGTCTCCCCACCTCAGGGCTTATGAGGCCAAGTGGAGAAACAGGGCCCCATCCCTCCACCTGGATAGGGCCCTGCGTAGGATTGCTAGAGTTAGCAAATAAAAATAGAGGCTGCCCCATTAAATTTGAATTTCAGACAAGTAACAAGTATTTTTTTTTAAGTATGCATATGTTTTATGCAATATTTGGAACATATTTATACTTTTAAAAAATTATGCTCTTTATCTGAAATCCACATTTAACTAAATGTCCTATGTTTTATGTGGTTAGCCTGCCATACAGACCAAGTTTTTTTCCAGTCTCTTTGACCACCACGAATATCCCTCAGCAGATGGACAGGTAGGGACACCAGCACCATGGGCTGGGGTCACCATTCAGATCTTTTTCTACTTGTACTCCAGGAACAGCTCATAGGACACCATGAGAATGGTCCTCGGATTAGGAAATACATAAGCACTGTATGGTGAGGAAGCAGTTGAGAGGAAGTGGCACTGTGGCTAAGCCTTGACTTCTTCCTCTATAATGATTAAGAGACTGAGTTCTTTGAATCATTCAGCTCTGAGTTCAAATCCCACCTATGCTGCTTACTACCTATGTGATCTTTCTCAGCCTCATTTTTCTCTTCTACAAAATCGTAACAATGGCACTTGCCTCAGAGGGATTATAGTGACGAAATGAAATAATGGGCATGAAGAGTGATTTTGGTGCTAAGCACACAGTGAGTGCTCAATAAATGATAGCAATTAACGGCAAAAACAATGCTCATGTTTTTTATCAGAATGGCCCCAAACCTCATCCTCCCCATATTTCTCTTTCTTTGACATTTCTTACAACTTTTATTCTGCAAACAGCTCCTTAGATGTATTCTATTTTTTTTTTTGAAAGTAGGATTTATTGATAGGACAGAAAATCTCCCACAGTGGGAGGGGACTCGAGGGTCGTTCAGATGAGTTCTATTTTTTAAAAGATCTTGAATCTTTGAGTTTGAGCAAACACCTTTGATGGTTAAGTCAGCTCACGTACAGGGACTCAGTGCTGGAAATATCTGGTGGGTGGTTTTCATCAAAACAGGCCAGCAAAGCAAGTCTTTGGAGGAAGTGCAGGTGGGAGAAGTGGGTGAGGAATTCCCTGGGAGGTGGTAATCAGGACCACACCAAGTCCCCAGGGCAGACTGGGGGCCCTTTTAAAGGTTCCTGGAGCAGCTGCCCATGTACCACTCAGCTTCCTCGCCTAGGGTCCAGTTTGCCGTCTCTGGTAAGTGCGAATGCATCTGTTCTCCCGGGATCTGCTAGGCTCTTTCCTTCTTTAAGTGTCTTGAGCCACTAGGCCAAGCTCTTCTCCTATCCTTGGGTGATCAGGGACATGACATAAGTCTCCTGACAGTTAGGGAAATGTCACACTAATTGCAACTTAGGGACTTCAATCTCCATTCCACATCATTGCTGGGTATGACTTATTTCTTGATTCTGGGTTTGACTGCCCAGCAAGAGGATTTTTCTCACTGAGGGGGGAAAATACTTCGAGCTGTAGCATTTTGTAGCAATCCTGTGCCCCCTCTAAGAGCTTTCTTGTGTCCTATTCTGCCTTTGGGCCCTACCAGCAAGCTTTAAGCGTTACTTTCAGGTTTACAGGAACAGGTATATTGTATTTTGTGTTATGGAGATGTAGCAACCTATCCTCCCTATTCTGACTACCACCTCTCCACTTTCTGAGGCCATTGCATCCCATTTATAATTACTAGCTTAGAACATGAGGGGCGCTGACGACAAAGAAAGCCAGAGACACCCATCAGAGCTGGGAAGGCCTCAGACACCTTCCAGACCAGCATCCCCCAAATGAGGGAACAGAGGTTCAGAGAAGGCAGGTTGCCTAGAGGCATGCTCGTCCAGTGAGTGGCAGGTTGGCTCTAGAATATGCCTGAGCCTTCTTGGCTATATCTCTTTCCTTTAAACCAGGCTGACTCCTAGTAAAACATCCTCCTGTGGTGCCTTGCCTCCAGTGATCTGTTTTGCCCTTGAGTTTCCCAGTTCTTCGTGGGGGCTGAAACCGCTATCCCACAGCCACGTTAATGACTTGTCTTAACATCCCTCTGTGAGCTGGGAGTGGAGCAGGTATTAGAGCTCAGGACTCTGCGTTCCGAGTGCACCCGTTCTCCAGCTGCGTAACATACACACCAGGACACTTCCCTCTAACACAGAAACTGTTCTTTTCCTCTTCTTCATACCCCTCTGCCCTTGCCTGCTCTTGTTGTCTGCATTATTCAAGGTATCCAGTTGACATTGCCCAAACTTCTCAGCCAAGAGTGCATGCTTTGACCTTGTAAAATGCCTGGGCTACCTTTTAATCCTCAACTCAGCACTTCATCTAATTTCCTGGTAAGACTGAAAAAGAAATGATATATTCTGGTAAATCAGGTCCATGGGAGGATGAAGGAAGGTAGAGAATCAGAACAGTAACTATTCTAAGAAGAAAGGGAGAGAGAAATATCATAATGGGTGTGTGTGACTCAATCCATTAACCAGTTTGAGGCTGTTAATCACTTATGCCTGGGGCTACCGGAGTCAGAAGGGAGGAAAGCTGGAGAGAGAGCGTCTCATGGTGTCCCTGCCTGTGTTTCCTTCAGGCTCACGTGTTCCTGGAGCAATGTCTTCCCAGCAGCAGCAGCAGCAGCAGTGCCCACCACAGAATGTCCAGCAGCAGCAGGTGAAGCAGCCCTGTCAGCCACCCCCTGTCAAATGTCAAGAGACCTGTCCACCCAAAACCAAGGATCCATGTGCTCCCCAGGCCCAGAAGCAATGCCCACCCAAGGGCACTGCCATTCCAGCCCAGCAGAAGTGTCCCTCGGCGCAGCAAGCCCCCAAGAGTAAACAGAAGTAAGAATGGACTGAAGATTACCACACGTCCTTCCAGGCTGCCAGATGACGCCTTCTCTTCTACCCACAGCACTTCCCTCCATCTCCAGGATTTGCCCTCCCCTCTGCCTTCTCCTGCCCAAGATCCAATGAAGCATTTCTTCCCATCCAGCCCCTCACCACACACCCCACCTTTGCGCCAAAGCGTCTTCTGTATCCTACTCTGACGCTCTCCCAGGTGGGCATGAGAGACCACTTCCTCTGCAGCCTCCAGCTTGGCCACAGCTATGGCCCCATCCATGTCTTAAAGCAAGGAAAATGTCTGGGCTTCTTCTAGGGTCCTATCCTCACCAGTGGGGACACCAGAGACTGATGCACAGCTTCTGCCTCATTTGCCTCCCCAACAGACCCCTCTCTGGGCTTCTCTCCTATTTTCTCTGCAAATAAATTTGTGCTTTGTGTAATAAATGGGTCTCTTCTTGGCTGATTATTTCATCCCGCTCCCAGCCCTATTCTGTAATCCATTCATTGGTTCAGAGGGAATATTTTGGGGGAAGTGAGTGTGCAAGCACACATATGCCGGGGAGTTTAGGAAGTTGCTCCTAGTACAGTTCATCTCTACTAACTAGTGTTAGGGGAAAGTCAGATCCTGACACATCTCAAGCAAAGGAAAAGGGAAAACAAACCCAGGAACTAGTTGGCAAAAGTCTGACAGACTCTTACTTAGCTCATACCATCTAGGGAAGGTTACAATGGAGGAAAAATTTAGCTCTTATCATTAGATGCCCAGCCCACGTGATGAATGTGTGTTTTGCCTTTTGGATGTTGTCAATCTGAAAAAGCAAAGAAAATATACATAAATGAATAGAGTACTGCAAAACTCTTTCACAAGCACGTACACATGACTGTTTTATGTATTCGTTTATTGTTCATTCAATAATTCACACTCACTCATTCACTTACTTAGTCACTCACTCATCTAATATTTAGCAAGTTCTAGAATGAGCTTTGCACTCTGCATTGCTGGTTTTCCAGAGCTATCCTGAGTCAGTCTATTCTGTGCTTTAGTCTACTCTTTGGAATTCAAAGTCTATTTTTTTAATTTTTATTTTATTTTATTTTAGATGTGGGGTACAAGTCAGGATTAGCTAAACAAATAGGCTGCGTGCAAGTGGAGTTTGGAGGCCAAGTACCCTTTGTGTTGCTACATGCTCCCCTCTCCCTTCCCTGGCAGTGTCCAGCAACTGCTGATCCCTCACTTATGCTAATATGATTAATATTCAGGTCCCACTTATGAGTGAGAACATGCGGTATTCAAAGACCCAAATGCAAAACTTGAAACTATAAGAATTCCAAAAGAACATGTAGGAAACCCTCTTATGCACATCAGAATAGGCAATCAATTCTTGTCCAAATCTGTAAAAGGTAATGCCATAAAAGTCAAGATAAATAATTGGGACCTCATCAAACTTGAACATTTTTGCACAGCAAAAGAAACCATCAAATGAGTGGAGAGACAACCCACAGAATGGGAAAAAATATTTACTAATTATGTGTCTGACAAAGGTCTAACATCCAGGATGTACAAGGAACTCAAACGAGCTGAAAGGAAAACAATAAACAACCCTATTAAAAGTGGACAAAGGACATGAATAGACACTTTTCAAAGTCATTTTCTTAAAAAGAAACATTTTGTTCCAGGGATAGCCTTGTACAGAGTTTGTACATCGCATAATAGGGCTTGGTTTTACCAGTTAGTCTGACTTTACATAGCTTATTAAAGAAGTCCTATTTTTACAGCTGGCTCCCTAAACTTCCTAACCCTGGTATAAGACTGGCTGCCTATATTAGAAAGAAACAGAAGACCTCCTAGATATATAGAGAGATAAGTCTTTGAAGGAGAGACCCAGAGTGAGAAGGAGCAGCTAAACACACAGCCATATTTTCACCCTATGGGCTTTGCTGTTCTCTTGGGATTTGCTCACTGAATTTTAGTTGCCGCCATCAATAATAAATTGCTTCCTCATTTAACACACTAGACTAAAAGAGAGTTGGTAACTACACTCTTCGTTTCCTCTTAAACCCACCATTCATGACTGATATTTCCAAGTGATAATTACTTGAAACTTAGTGGGTACAGACATTAACCAGAAAAGTCAAAGTATTGTAAAAACAGTTCAGATTCAAAGAGAATGCTTCTAACCATAGGAATTCTTTGACTGCCTTTCGGTGTCTCAGTCCCTGCAACCTGAAATATTTCCCCCCTTTCAGTAAGAAATGCTAGTCCATCTTAAGAGTCCCTTCCTCATTTCCTTCCATCCAAGCCCTAGCCAGTTTCTTGGTCACACCTTTTTTTAATATCATTGCCGTGTCTCCCAGGAAGGTGCTTGCAAGTCCTCCCACAGATTTTAGGGTTCCAGGGTTGACAGATATGCACAGTCTTAAGCTAATTGACCAGATGGGGTGATTAAAACAATGAATGCTTCTGTTATGGTCTGTGTCTCAGGTTATTAACTCAGCGGGAAGGAGAGGCCCATGCCTTCTACACCAGTGGCCAAGGACTGAGTCCCATCTCTCTGTGAATATGTGAGGAACTGCTCCCCTAATAAAGAAATGCTTTTATGTCATTCTACTCTTCAGAGGTTCACACAGCAACATTGACTTTTACCAAAATCGCATCCATCTGGTGAGAGGTGGGTGCCTTGCTCTTTCCTGGTTGCCCTTCATATAAAGCCATGTCAGAACACAGAGGGGCATTATGCATCATTGAGTTCAGTTTTAAAATTTGATTCAAACATCTCCATGGAATCTCACTTAACACTTTGAAAATCTGAAAAGCCCTTCCATAATTCCTATATAAACTAAAGTGTAAAAACTTGGACTGCTCCAAAATTTCTATAAAGTACCCAAAACACATTACAATATAGTAATTACAGATAATTCACTTTTCTCCAAATACACCATCCAATTGTGATATGTCTGGTTTCTTGTTCGTGCGATTTCTTCTGCCTAGAATATCAATTATCCACTTTGCTAAGGGATCTAGTTATCTAGAGGGATCCTCTCAGTTTTAAAAGTTTGATTCAAATATCTCCAAGGAATCTCACTTAACACTTTGGAAAGAACTAATATCTCCTGTAAGCTCTCATAACATTTAGCAAAATTTTTATTATAATTTCATGAATTAAATATATAATTATATTTGCATTATAACTTACTTTTATTATATGTTTAATTCCCCTATTAAATTATAATTCCTTGAAATACAGGGGTCTGGCTGATTTCACTACCCACAAATGCACAATGACTGGCTTTTCGAAAGCATGGAAGAAGGAATTTCTCTTTCTGAGTGAAATCAGTCAGCTGGTAGCAAGCCAGTAGTCTAGTATACATTTAGACCAAATTTATAAGCTATCTACATCCGCCTGAGGACTTCAGAGTAGTGAGAAAAAAGTCTACCCTAGTGGGTAATTCATGGATTCTGGGCTTGAGCAGAAGAATGAAAACCTCAGCATTCCACTGTGGAGTACCCTGGCTGGGGACAGAGAGATCCAGAAACTTTATGGATGTTCTGGAGATGGGGAGACTTCAAGCAAGCATCTGATTTCCCACTAAAAAAATTAATGAATTCTGTGAATGAGTAGGTCGGGATACTAACTACTTCAGCAGAAAGTCTCTGAAAAGCAGAGTAGAGCTTTTTGTAGGTCTTTAAGACAATGAAGGAGTTTGCAATCTGCCAAGGGGAGGGGAATCTAGGGACTATACCAGAGAGAGTTAAAAACTGCAAGACCAGAAGAAAATCTAATCTGTTAGATAGAAGTCAAAATAATAGTAATCATTTTATTTAGGAGAGAGTACTGACTGGATGGGGTCAAAGTAGAGCTTTCTGGGATTCTGGGAAAGTTCTCAGTCTTGTGGGCTGTGGTTACATGCGTGTATATGTATATCAAACATACACTAAACTGATTTGTGCATTTTTCTTTTTGTTAATTTATCTTCAATAAAAATAGAAACGCCATTAAAATAGGATTAATTACCTTAAATAAATTTAATGTAACATATGGCATTTATACTAAAAATATAAAACATTATTAAGAAAAAATAAAAGAGAAGTAACAAATGAAGAGATGTATATTTATTCAAAGACTATTTTGTGAGATTTCAACTAACCTTAAATTCATCTAAGATATGAAAATTAGAATGAAAATTTGAAGACACTACACAATTAATATATTAGCTAAAATTTAAAAGACAGAATACCAGGTGTTGGTGAAGATACAGATAAATAGGAACTCTTACAACTGCTTATCGCCATGTAAACTGAACAACTATTGCAGAAAACTGTTGAACAATATATTCTAAATTTGGACATATGCATCTTCATCGCAACAGTTTCACTTTTTATTGTAGACACAATAGAAATATGTACACAGGATAGCTAAAACACATGTAAGAAAATATAGCAGTATTGTAAAAACCCCAGTTGAAAATACTCCAAATAGCCATAACAGTAGACTGCATCAATTAATTGTGTTACTTTCATACAATGGGATACCACAAAGCAATGAGATTAGACAAACTATACTACATGAATCTTACAAACATAATCTTGAGAGAAATAAAGCAAGCATATTGCATAATTGCATAATTCTCATAATCCCATTTATTTACATACAGTCATAATGACTGGAAAGTGAGCTTTACAGAATATAAGCAAACATGAGTGTTTTTATCTGATAGCTATTAGATGAATATGGTCACTTCGTGAAAATTCATTGAGCTGTGTGCATTTGCCTGCATAATACTATATTTACATTTTTTAAAAAGATATATACATTTTAAAAGTACTTAGGCAATACTTTCATCTTAATAGGCTTAACAAATGATTTTTCTCACTATTTCTGTGCATACTCACCAATTTCCTACCCCAATTGTTATCTTCAAACTCCACCCATAACATATCAGTAAAATTAAAACATCGTTGCTCTTCCAAGGAAAGGTGAATATATTTATAAAGCTTCTAAACACTACAGTGGAGGAGGGATAGCTCACCACACCCTCCTCCCACTCTTCCTCCTTCTCACCATTTCACTTGCCTAGA